AATTCCCACTCTACTCCACGGTGTCGAAATATGTGCTACTGATTACCGTTACGTAGTATTCGAAGTTGGCATATTTCAGAGCTTTGGTGAAGCAAGTCAGGCGTTGACGGTTTCTAAGGGGTCTTACCGACACAGCGCGTACTCGTGGAAAGCCCTTCTCGCATATGGCCGCGTGGATCGTATTCGCAGGCCTCTCTAAAGATAAGACGTTGTCTGAGAGACAAAAGCTCTTCCTGAAAGAGCGTCTGAGGCCAGAAAAAATTTTTAGTAAACAAATCACCAATGACTGTCATTCGCTCCTACGGACACACCTCGACAGCCGGCCTCGACTGTCCGGAGTCACAGGGGTTACCCAACGTCTGGGTAATTCCCTTCTCGTTTCCTCGGGTTGCGTCCATCCCTGTCATGCTATAAAGCTGCTGCTGTCTCACCACGACCAGTGCCGGCCTGATGGTTTCTTATGTGATTACCACACATAAAACATCGTTACACAGAATGCAAGCATCCCCGGGTCCTCCAATGATTCCCATTAACAAAAAACCGCCTCTACCCAACTTAAGGCATATCTTTGTCCCTACTTTGTTATTAACAAACTGCTGGACAAGTTTTGCCGTGATGTTTCATTTCGAGAAAAACATCTACATTAAAAGCCATCTCGTTAGGGGGTGGGTATTACGAATGGAGGCTTATACACAGAAGGAAAATATGATAAATAATAACAAACTTGAAGGAATATTTCCCCGGAATGAATTTGAAGCAAGCAAGGACAGCAGAATTTAATGGTACCACAAAATTTCGCGACGGCTTCTCAACTGCTGCCGGTCGTTGCATAACAGAAATAACAAGTGAGAAAGGTACAAAGGTTTGAATTTCGACAGAGAAAATCGATGTAAAACAGCAAGGTCAACGTGTACTGCGCGTAGACTAATCGATAAAATGGTAACTTTAAAATTCAACATAGGAAAGAACATGGGGAACTAGGCATGCCGAGGGATTTCGAAACTCAAAAGGGGCTCGGGTCTACCAGGGCAAGCTGAGGTTGACCACGTGGTCTAACTGTTTACATAGGTCGGGTTTCTCCCGCCGTATATAGGCTGCCTCCAGGTAGCGCAATAACCGAGTAGTTCGTGCTCGAACTAATACTCGAAAAGACGTCTTAGGGTCTTAGATTCACAATGGAGAAGGAGCAGTGCAACAAGCTCTCTTTCCTGGATGTCCTCATGACTAGACAGGAAGATGGTTCAATACGGCGATCTGTTTTCCACAAAGACACATGGAAAGAACAATACCTACACTTCTTGAGCTTTTTGCCGATACAACGAAAGCGAAATTTGGTTTACACTCTATTCCAAAGAGCAAGAAAGATTTGCTCCATTGAAACGCTAGATGATTAAATTTCTTGCCTAAAAACAGCCCTGCTTAAACGCGGATATCCAACACGATTCATCGAAAAGTACAGCAACACTTTGCGGCCAAAATTGACGGAGCAATCTGTTCCGAAAAAGCCGTTATAATATCCTTACCCTTTAGGGGAGACAACATCCCTAATACCATCAAGCGGCGATTGAGATGCACTATTGAAAGAACTTACAACGCAGCTGAACTCATCTTCTACAGTTCCATTAAGGCTATCGAAGTTCTACGGGCGAAGGATGCCTTGCCATTGCACGCCACGTCAAATTGTGTTTACGAATTTACATGTACTTGTGGATGCAAGTACATTGGGCGAACGCAAAGGCAACTGGCAGCCAGAGCAGTTGAGCACCTGCCTAAATGGCTTCTAAAGCAGGAGAACAAGACTCCACGGTCTTCCATTACAAAACATCTCCTTGATAGTGGCCATTCGGTTGACCCTAAGACGTCTTTTCGAGTATTAGTTCGAGCACGAACTACTCGGTTATTGCGCTACCTGGAGGCAGCCTATATACGGCGGGAGAAACCCGACCTATGTAAACAGTTAGACCACGTGGTCAACCTCAGCTTGCCCTGGTAGACCCGAGCCCCTTTTGAGTTTCGAAATCCCTCGGCATGCCTAGTTCCCCATGTTCTTTCCTATGTTGAATTTTAAAGTTACCATTTTATCGATTAGTCTACGCGCAGTACACGTTGACCTTGCTGTTTTACATCGATTTTCTCTGTCGAAATTCAAACCTTTGTACCTTTCTCACTTGTTATTTCTGTTATGCAACGACCGGCAGCAGTTGAGAAGCCGTCGCGAAATTTTGTGGTACCATTAAATTCTGCTGTCCTTGCTTGCTTCAAATAATAACAAGTATCGCGTTCATAATCTTCCGAATAAGACGAAGAAGAAGAGAGGGCGAATTCATGCACCATATTGCATTCGAACTGACGTTTCGGAAACGTCTTCGTTCCCATCATCAGAGTAGCGTACTTTTTACTCCTGCCGGCCCACAAGATATTCAAAAATTAGGAGTTGATCGGTAGAGTGTTTGGTCGGCCCTTCGTCGTCGGCGGGATGACATTCGCTGATCTGTGCCGCAACGAGGAGTCGGCGTTGCTGAAACGTCTACATTGCTTCATTGGTCTGCACCCACCGAACGCAATTCCACTCCTCACTTGGCCTATCTCGGGTACAAACTCTGCGGTTGTGTTACAATTGACCCCCGTTAATTGGAAATTCCCCGGCAGACTTGCTTAGCCCAAGAGCTGCAACGTCGGTAACAGGCTAATGCAAAACTCTTGACCGAAGGTTTAACCAGCAGACTGCTAACTAACCACTTTAAAATACATACCACGCTATCGGAATTGGCGTCCTGGGTTATGACTCCAGCTAATACACAGTCAAAGCAAGCAGATAGGTAGTTCAAACAAGCGTAGTTTGTTCACAGTAATGGATGCAAAGTAAGAAGTAAGTAGGTGCATGGGGCAGGGAAAAACTACAGAGAATTGCCTACCATATTTTCAAAGATTTGGCGTTGTTCGGTAGAGATTTTAGTCGGGCCCTCGTCGGCGCCACACCGAGGCGTCGGTGCTGCTGAGATTTCTGCACTGGTACATCGTTCTGCACCCCCCATACGTAGTTCTTAACAAGATTAAAGCTCATTTTTAGGAAATACGTTCAGAACGTAGAGCAGTCAGGTTGTAAAATGAATACTTTAAATATGGTTAGATGGGATGAATACGTCCGCCAGTGAAGCGGGAGTGATAAAGCGCTGGTGAATGTGTTGAAAAACAGCATTTTCTTACCCCGCGACTATACTTGACACTTGTCTGGAGCGATCTGGGCAAGTGTATAGTATGTAATCACACTGGGAAGACCATAGCTACAGCGTTTACGCCAACCGTAGCAATGACTGTAATAGTGAAGCTTGACATTCAACTCGTAAAAATTTAAGGAAACCTTTAACGTAACTGTAACCCTAATCTACGACTTAAAGCACTAACTCTAACTCAACCTCCTAAGCCTAAAATTCTGACTCTAACTCCTAGCCTAAACAAAAACTCCAACCCTGGCCTCAACCCCAAATCCTACGCATAAGCTACGCATGACAACCCTAGCCCAGAGAATAAGCCTACACTTAACACTAAACCTGACCCTAAACGTAGATCGATTCCAAACCTCGAGCTGGGACGGATAACTTTAGCGTCAATAAGGCTACTGAATGTCAAAATCCGTGTCTCGCAAAAACTCACTCGTGAATTATTGCCAGGAAAACTGTCATTAAACACACATAATTGAATAATCTAAGAGGTTGGACTTTTGCCAAACCCCCCCCCCCCGTGGATGTTGTATGCCATACCCTCGTCGTGATCTGTTGTACTTGGAATTTTGAATGAACAAAACAACTGATCTATTTAACACTCGATCAAGCTAATTAAAGTCCACTGGATTTTCAGTGATTGCAGAGCTCTCTTTACACCACTTTCGGCATTCCGGTAGGCACTTATGCAGGATGTTTACTTGCAAAGCCCAATCCGTTGGATGCAGGACGGTGGCTTCTATAGCCACACCCCAAGATCACAGGCTCGACAATTCTAACGATAAAAGTGGCAAAAACAGTTGTGACATGGAGGCCGTTGCTGCCTCTGTCTGCACTGCAAAAAACAACTGACGATGACAGATAAACATGCAGTCTCTGTCAGCGACTGTCATTGTAGCAGTGTGGTGTGGCTCATAGGACCAGACAGTTCCAATTAATTTACATACACCAGCCTCCTAGACAAGAAAATCCAACAGAATTTTATGTGTCAAAACGCCTGGGACTATCCCACTTGCCACTGACACAGATGTGTCAGTGTCCAGAAGTCCTTCCAAGGCATGAGACTACGCCAAACATGGTTAGGCGACGGTACTGCTTCAGGACTGAACAGTCATGTATCGTGTCATCTAACCTGCTGTTCCTATATTCCACGATGGCTACTGCAATCAGTGGTGTCCTACATGTGCAGACCATGTAAACAGCACAGGAGTGCCCTCGCCACTTGCGGATTCGCATTCAAGACTTGGGCAGCTGAACATGTACCAGTGTGACTGCTGAATGCGGAAAATTGCGACGAAGCTTCGAATAGACAATAGGTCAGGGTGGGAATAATGGCAGTGTTTAAAGTTATAAGTTAACAAGCTTTAAGCATACGTAAACCTATTCAGCACCCGAGATGATACGAAAAGAAACTAGGGTCAACGACACAGATACGCCCGGTTTCCTTCCTAGTGACGAAGAGGTATTTCATGCTGTGCAGTCCCCAATCACGTTTTGAAAAGTTACGCTGCGATCCCAACCCGCTAACTTATGACATTAACCCCCGAACGGGATCCATCCATAGAAATGACTGACATCGTCTGCAATCTACTTACCTTTATCCCTTCAGCAGTCTAAGCTAGTGTCTTTTCGAACAGTCGAATTCTAAACAAAGAACAAATCAGTTCCAGTGAGAAAATCGATCACAAAATTACGACACCATCAAAAGTTTAGCCATTTGTACTACTAAATGGAGAAATTAGGACAACAAGAAGCACATGCCGAAGCTTCTAATGCACAATGGACCCGCATGGATTCGACGTCAGCACTTCAAGTCCCAACAAAAACTGGACGCTCGTTACGGAGAAAATCACAACGGTAAGATCAGATGGGTCACGTGATCCATACTGCACTGTCATGATGGAAGTCAGCAACGGAAAATCTCCAGGCCCCTCTGATGTGATGTAATTAAGGGGGTCCTGCCTGTGCAGGCCACGTTGACAGCTCAGAAGTGCACATGACACAAGTGGACCCGCTTTCGATTTCGGTTTAAAATGCAGATCAATTTATGCTTGAGCGATGAATGAACAGAGAAATGACTAACGCCCTCTTACAGTAGTACAGACTGGTATCCTTTTTGAACAGCCAGATTCCAAAATAGGCACCAATCAGTAACAGTTCGCAGATGGATCAAGAATTTATGATGTCGTCAGAAGTTTTGGCACTATTCCCCTGTTAAATGTTATCCGGGACATGGCCTTGGCGCACGCGCGTGCACTTCGCACCAGGGTTGGCAACATCAACTGACATTTGACTCGACTGAGTAATTCTTAACACTGCCCTCTGAGGAGTGGTGGTTGCCCAGCTAGATGTCGCCATGAGCACTGATTTTGGACACTTCGTGTTGTCGGTCGCCTCACACAAAGAAATAAAACAATTGTAACGACAAGATAACAAGGATCTAGTGAAGGCCCCCAAGTATGCGTACAAAGAATGTCTACTATACGTGTTTTAGTAGGTCGTTTTGTATTTGATACTCTCCTGGACATGGTCGTTCATCGTTGACTCATTCACATCAACTGACTTTCCGTTGCATAGCCGACCATGAACATAGCTCAGAGAGTTGAGAAACGGCGATCGCGCCTTATTCATTTATCGCGGATCAGGTCCTTCGCTTTAGCATTATCTCCCACTGGCTGTGTTGCGGCATTAAGGGCAACATCGTCTGAACTGGGTCGTTCATCGTAGACTCATGCACATTCGATTGGGAAGCTATCATCTGACTTCACGTTACATAACAAACCATGACCTTAGCTCAGAGAGCAGAGTATTGACCGCTGCACTTCGCTGCTTCATCGTGGATCTCACCCGCCATTGGCTGTGCTGTGATACCCCAGGCAAGAACCTATTGAATGGGTCGTTCATCGTAGACCTCAGTTCATACCATTGGGAGGCTGGCGGTATGCTTCCCCTTATATAAGCTGCCATGATCTTAGCTTAGAAAGTTGGCAAGCGATCGCGTAACTTTGCTTCCCCATTGAGGACGTTGCAGCTCACCTTAGCAATATTTAACACAGCATCCTTTCGAATGGGTCGTTCATTGCAGACTCCAGTTCATGAAATTGCGAAGCCGTCGGCCTTAGCATTATCTACCACTACACGATCCATTCTGAGAGTACGATCCAGCATAGTTCTGTTGCGATCACATAGCATCGTTATTCCAGAACATATATGACTGCTTATGATATAAATGACGACAAAACTATCCTTATTTTGTGTTCCCAAAACCTTAGGTAAAACAAGACAGATGACTTCAAAGTAGTTTATATAATACAGTTTACTTACACTTATGTCACTTTCCTCAACGCTTGCCTTCTTTTACACTGGGTATGATTCTGCTACGTGGGACAGAAAGACTTCCCATGCTTCCATCAGTCCCATTGTATTTCGGCCAAACCATAGGCGGCATTGCACTTCATCAATATGGGCCTATAAGCCCCGGCCAGATACCGGCCCGGCTTCATGGAGCTTCCTTTTCAATCTGCTCCAATATGCCTCGATGACGTTCGTGTGCTCGTATGGTCGGGTCCCTAAAGTGCTTTGAGTGGTTAACTGAGTAATGCTGATATCCTTTCGCTGGGAGGCGACTGGACGCCTTCCACTCATCAGTAACAATAATGCTATCAGATAAGACGTCCACATAAGCATCATATAGGAAAGAGGGAGACGAAATGTTAACAACAAATCACAGTCAGTAGTAACTTGAGGCGTGAGATTACCATGACAACTGCAGATTGATTACGTGATCTAACTGCTTGCACAGGTCTGGTTTCTCCCTCCGTATGTAAGCTGCTTCCAAATAACGCAAAGTTCGAGTTGTATGCGCTCGGACAAGTACTCGAAAAGATGCTTTAGGGTCGACAACATGACCGCTATCTAACAGGTGCTTCGTTATAGACGAACGGGGCGTTTTGTTTTCCTGTTTGAAAAGCCAATTAGGCAAATGCTCAGCGGCCCTGGTTGCCAATTGCCTTTGCGTTCGCCCAATATACTTGCATCCGCAAGTGCATGTGAATTCATACACACAATTTGGGGTGGCGTGCATTGGCAAGGCATCCTTTGCCCGGTTAATTTGAAGGCTTTTTGTGGAACTGATGAAGATAAGCTCTGCTGCGTTGTACATTCTTTCTCTGGTGTGATGCAAGCGTCGCTTGATTGTGTTTGAGACATTGTCACCCTTAAAAGGTAGACATATTATAACGGGCTTCTTCGAAACGGACTGTTCCGTCAACTTTGGCCGTAAATGGTTGCTGTACTTCTGAATGAAGCGTGCAGGATAACTACGATTAAGTAAGGCTTCTTTGATTCGGGCAGTTTCTGTATCTATGGTCTCCCTGGAGCAAATATTTCTCGCTCTTTGAAAAAGAGCATGTACTAGATTGCGTTTCCATTGTATTGGCGCAAAGCTTTTAAAATGTAAGTATTGCCCTTTCCACGTAATCTTGTGAAAGACGGAGCGTCTTATTGAACCATCATCCTCTCTAAACATGAGGATGTCCAGGAAGGGTAACTTGTTAAACTGCTCCATTTCCATCGTAAATTTGATTTTCGGATGCAGATTATTCATCAGGCAAAGTATGTCGGAGGCGTCTTCCTTGTTGTCAACAATCGTGAATATATCATCCACGTATCTCCTGTATAATGTTGTCATGTTTAATCTTGATGAGACCTTTTCTTCTAGGTAACCCATAAAAACATCGGCGAGGATTGGCCCAAGTGGACTGCCCATTGCGACTCCGTCAATTTGCCTGTAAAGTTCCCTATTAAACAGAAGTTGAACAGCTTTGGTGCAAAGTACCAGCAGATCCCTTAGTATTTCGGGGAAGAGTCGGGTTTTGGACGCATGGACGCATATAACATCTATTGTTTCATCCAATGGTACATTGGTAAATAAGGATTCCACGTCTAATGAGATCATACACTTGTCGGCGATGTTCTGGTCCTTGATTTCTTCAATGAAATGAAGACTGTCTTCTATCGTGTAGGTGGAGAAAAATTGTCGAATTGGTTCCAGCGCTTCGACAAGCCCTTTTGCTAGTCTGTGTGTAGGTGAATTAGACATAGAAAGAATTGGCCGTAAAGGTGTGTCCTTTTTATGCGTTTTTGGCAGACCATATAGTCTGGGAATATGCGTGCCTCTCGGTTTTAGGAGTAGTGCGGTTTTAGTATCGATCAGGTTTTTGTCCAACAACTTTTGAACCTTTTTCCAGACTGAGTCTTCCAATGTCTTAGTTTCATCTTTCCCAGACGCCTCTAGACGAAATTTGCTCTGATCCTCTAAAATGCACTTCATTTTTCTCACATAGTCCTTCCGGTTAAGAATAACAACTCCATGGCCTTTGTCAGGCTTAGAAATTATTATTTGTTCATAACGTTTCAATGCGGATAAGGCAGCTATATGTTCATTGGTTAATGGAGTCCGTTGTGTTACAGGAGTTTTACGGTACTGATGAGCAATGTCCACAAATTTCGCTTTCAACCAGCCGGCATCGTCAGTAGATCTGGGTACTAAATCAGACAGTTGAGAATTCAAGTCTTCAAACTGAGCCTCAATTTCACCTGGGTTTAATCTCCTGTTTGGAATGCAAAAGTCAATTCCTAGTGATAAAGCCTCTGATTGTAGCTTATTAAGTTTGATGTCAGACAGATTAAGGATAGTTTCATCTGTATTCAGAGGGAAATAATCGTCCGTAGACTTTTTGCACAATGACTTCCTTAGTTTAAAACGGTATGAGTCTCTTGTCTTCCTTTGTATGATACACGCATGTTTCATGAACATTAACCAGCAGAAGAAACTTATTTTGTCGAGAATATGTTTTGTTTGGTCCAAACGAGATTTGTTTATGTCGACAGCCTCAACCGAGTCCTCAATTTTTGATTGTGCAAGACGGTCCAGATTTTGCATGGTAGGACGTAATTTTCCCCGACGGAGGATTTTGTAGAACTCCACTGGGTACTCCTTGCTGCTTATGCAATTCTGAAGAAATTCAATCCGTGTGTTTTCTTTCGTTATTCTGCATCGCAATTGTAGAAGTCTGTCCTGAGACTTAAAAATATCCGAGGGGAGGTGCTGTTTCAGAAATTTGAAGCATTTTTTCCCTGGTATGAATTGAAAACAAGCATGTACAGCGGAATTTCTTGGGGCCAATAAATTTCGTGACGGCTTTTCAACTGCAGCCAGTCTCTGCATAACATAGGTAACGAATGAAAGCGCACAGCAGTATGAATTTGTACAGTCCATCAACAAGTGCAACGATCTTCCCACTCCATACTCCGTGCTGAAACTTCGCCTAGGCGGAGTAACAAGCCATTCGGGGAGCGCAGAGGTGAACACTTTTCCCAACACCGCGGCCGATGCGTCAGATGGTCGAGCAATCATCACGCCAACATCCAACGCACGTGATGAAATTGCAGCAATTATCGACTCGAATGTCGGTCATCAAGCAATGATCACACCAAGTGCGACGATCCCGGATGAAGGCGGGAGCCGTGAATGTTCATAGGTATGCGGTAGCATGGCGACTGCATCCTATAAATACTGCAGCTCCTTGTGCAACAATCACCAGTTTCTGCTTTTTTGTCTCTGATGATGGATTCAAGTAGGAATCCGAAACGTCAGCCTAATAAAGCTCTTGTCCCGGCGATCGTGTCTCCTTCTTCAATTCAACGTCAGTATTTCAAGTTCCACCTCCAAAAACAAAAAAATGGACGTTCGTCACGGAGAAAACCACAACTGTAAAATCGGATCAGTCGCGTGAACCACCCCGCACTGCCATAATAGAAGTCAGTAACGGAAACTCTCCGGGCAGCTCTGATGTAATATATCAACATCCCATGCTGGGTAGTCCCAATCGCAGGCCTTGAGTTCTCGTCTTGACCCCAGCTTGTCCACCAAAGCTCCCGCCCCACCCCACACAACCTACCCCCATCCCCCCACTGATCTGACTAACATTTCGCGCTGTTTACATACCTAACCGTCTTGAGATCACAGCGCTGACCTCTAATTGAACAGGTAGGTTTATAAGTATGCAAAGACCGGCTGCGCTTGAAAAACGAGTCACAATTTTTATGACGTCGATAATTTTGCGCGATTCACCACACGTCTACTTTGTAAAAACGATGCTTCAAAGTTCATTTTACGCTTGAGTGAAGCAGAGAAGTCGTCGAATGACGTCTGAGTTGCAGGGTCATTCGTGCTATCCTGAGACTGCATTTAGGAGAGTTGAGAGATCAGTTTAATTTACTATGATATTTGAAGGTTTGTCACACACTGCTCATGGAGTCCCGCAGAACTCAGTCGCACTTTTGGATCATCATACCGCCACAAAAATTTGGTACATATTTCAACCCGACTGTCAAGCATTCAGCTTCCATTAAATACTCAATGCATCCACACCGCTTAAATGCTCTCTACTCTTCCGGTCAGCAGTTCTCACAAAGAATGCGATTTGGTAAATACCCAACCGCGTCAGCATGATCAGGCTGAAAAATGTCGCCAGATACGATAGGGAAAACTAGAGTTAAATGAACAGACGGCTTTGATGGTTAAACCCGCACCCGCAAAAGTAAAGCTCAGAGGAAGAAATAAGTCCAGATTTCCCACAAACGACGGAGATGTGCTTCATGCTGTGCAGTCTCCAATCAAGTTTGTTGAGTTCCCGCTGTCATCACAACCTGCTCACCTACAAACCTCGCCCCTCGTACCAGACCCACCCTTCGAAAGGACTGACGTATCTTTACAGTAGTCAAGACTAGTACACTTTTCAAACGGCCAGATTCCAAAATAGGCGCCAATCAGTAACAGTTCGCAGATGGATCACAAATATCCGATACCGTCAAATGTTTGTCCGCTTTTCACATCTTCAATTTTATCCCGGAAGAGGGCAGTTCGAAGCTCAAACTGCGCTTGTGTGATGGAGGGAAGTTGTCGACAGGTGTCTGGGTGGCGGAACCATCCGTGTCATTCTCAGGCAGCATTTAGGAGAACTGAGAAATGAGTCTGATCTACTGTGGCAGGTGAAGGTGAGTCAGTGGTTGCTCATGATGTCCCGCAGCACCTAAATGCGCTTTTAGGCCATCGTACCTGGATAAGATACTTCATTAATGCTTCGATCCGGCTATCAAACTCGCAGTATATTTCACTGTTGATACATTCATACCGTTTAAATTACATTCGTTGTTCTACGGAGTAATGTGATCTACTATGACAGACGGATCTTAAGCATAGTCTGCCTATAAATGCCTGCGTCGGAGTCAATATGTAATAATTACAGCTGTACAGATACCAGAGTGATTAAGTGAAAAGCATATAAATGTCGCGTAAGTGAAATCTTATTACTCATGCATGTTTTGATTATCGCACTTCAACATGACCGGCATCCGTCTAGGTGTATTTTTTGAACAGAATGCGGAACTCCCAGCATGCATTCTTATTACTTTGCCATCATTAATTCACTCAGAGAATGCTGTTTTATGGAGAAGACAATCCTTTTTTCATGAGCCTACGGACCAGGCTGTGACGGTCTGCACGGCGTGGCGACAGCGACCTAACCTCTCCCCATGCCTGTTGGCTGCCTTTGCGGCATGTGCCTCAGCCAATGGCCTGCCGAAACCGTGACGCTGATCGATATTGCATTCCTCAATTACTGACAGAGACCGGACATGGCTGCGGCGCATGCGCATACTTCGGATCAGGGTTGGTAACATCGAGTGGCATTCGACCTTGACGCCGATCATTCTTCTACTCCTCCTTGATTGGCTGCAGTCGAACATGGCTGTGGGGCACGCGCGCGCAATTCTTCACCTCTTCAATTTTATTCCGGAGACGGGCAGTTCTAAACTCAAATTACGCTTTAGTGAAGACGAGAAGTTGTCAAATGGTGTCTGGGTGGCGGGACCATCCTCGTCATCCTCAGTCAGCACCCACGGGAGCTGAGAAATGAGTTTGGTTTGCTATGGCAGGTGAAGGTGAGGCAGCGGTTGCTCATGAAGTCCCGCAGCGCCTAGATGCACTTCTAGGCTATCGTATCTGGGATAGATTAAATGTGTTTTCTTGCCAGATGATTCATCCAGCGACTCCCATTTAACCGTTTGCAGCCAAAACTGCCGCACATTTAATGCAAACTGCTTTATTCAACTGCAAAAAATGAGTTTATATTCACATAAAAATGATCTTCAAATCAGAAGCAAATAAATGCTGAGCCACAGCCAAGTGACCATCACTTTTTCGTCCATTCAAGGAGCCGTGCTTCATGGTACCCGACTTGCTGAGTGCAGAGCAAACATTAACTTTCGCAGATTTCCTCTCGCGTCTGCGCATCTCGTGTTTTTTTCTCGTGGTTTGGCACGGGAATATGAACTTCCATATCGCATGTGTCCTTTACTTAAATTTTGTGGGCGTTATGGCTAGCGTTAGGGAGGGGGATAGGGTTATGGGGTTACTGCCACGATTAGGAAAAAGTTAGGAAACATCAATAGGTACTCCTGCAGTTCGGGGAGGGTTCCGTATTCCCCTGCCCAACCTTTTCCCATTTCCACACCCAGTTGACCTTCCTGCAGTTGTCGTGGTTTTCAAATGACCAACATTCACCAGGCACAGTCCTCCGCATTTTTCATATCAAAGAAAGCCGTTTAAAGCATTTGTTTAAGGGAAGAAGAAGAGTCGAGCACCGGAACACTTCGTTTATTGTCCTGAGCTTTCAGACTCGTACAGGAGTCCATCGTCAGAGGGAAGAAGAACAGGAACAGCAGTTGCCCTTCCTGGATGTGCTTGTCAGACGAAACCTTAACGGTGAACTTGAAACGACGGTTTATAGGAAGGCAACGAACACCACACAACTTCTCAGTTTTCACAGCAACCATCCGGTGGCTCACAAACGAAGCTGTGTGAACACGCTCTTCAAACGCATTCAAACTCATTGCAGCAAACCGGAGGACAGAACACGTGAGGCCCGTTATCTCCGCGACCAGTTTGTGCAAAATGGCTATCCAAGGGCATTCATAAGTCGCTGCCTACGCGGTCGCCACCAGAGAACTCGAACATCAACGCCAACGACGATATGCCATTCTCTGCCATATATCAAGGTTGTTTCGGAAGCGATCGAGCGCATTGCTGCGGAGCTAGGTGTTGGAATTGCCCACCGCCTCAAAGCCACCATGCGCAACAGGGTCATGAAAATCAAAGACCGGTTAAAACCTGAAGAGCAATCTGGGGTAGTGTATCGCATTCCGTGTCAAAATTGTCCTTGTAACTACACAGGACAGACTGGACGCATGCTCGGATAGCGCATACACGAACATAAGCTGGCTGTGCGGCGAGGCGACGTATTATCACAAGTGGCTGCCCACACCTACGAAACGGGTCACGAGTTTAACTTTGCAGCCACCAAAATAGTCGCCCACGCCGGAAACAAAACAGTCCGAGAATTGATTGAAGCCTAGGCCTCGGATGAGAACTCGGTCAATCGATTTATCGATCTGGCGCCGGCGTACAGAGCCCTTCGTAGTCACCTCCAGTCGTGCGACGTCGGTCGATGATTGGGCCTACGTGCCTTATAACTGCCGCTTGTCCTGTTTCTGCCACTACCTCTGACGATGGACTCCTGTACGAGTCTGAAAGCTAAGGATAATAAACGAAGTGTTCCGGTGCTCGACTCTTCTTCATCACTTATGCATCCACCTGGAACTCGAAATTTCGCCTTCATTCGTGAAAGCATTTGTTGTAACGATATTATTCCGAACGTCACCTCCATCAAAGGACCACTTTGATATTGAGAATTAGGATAAAATCCCCTGAAACAGGTAGATCATCCGACCACGAGATCCTGAGGACGTGACAGTTGAGGACACATCCTATCTAATATGCACACTTCGCAGCATTCAAATGCGCCCTCTAAGTCTTAAATCGCAAACGTCACGTTTATCACAGCAACAGTGGCTTTCCGATTCCCAGCCTTCACTTGCTCTCCTTAAGTAGACCAAAAGTGAGTTAGTGTAAAATCTACTTATATGTCGAGCCAAAGTCGGGACATTTTACGCATAATACACCGTATTCTCCTCACAGTATTCCACAACGGAACGTTACTCGTGTGACATTCCACCCTCGCGATCGACAGCGTGGCCACTTACCCATGCCGCCTTCAGTCTACCTACCATCTCCTATCAATCGGTTGCTTGAGCCGCGGTGACTTGGCGTCATCCTGGCGAGGGCTTGATGCAACCGACGCCGGGTCCTTTGCTGATTGGCTGCAGTCTGACAAGGCACAGGCGCACGAACGCTCTCCGCATCGGGACCGACGGCCTCAACGACTGTCATTGGACTGAAGAGAACGCTCAATGTAACTGCCTTCTGAACTGCGTGCACGCTCTCTTGCCCCAAAAAAGATTGCCAGATTACTATCTACGCTTAAATTTGAATTGGGAAATCTTGCGCTGTCAAGCCATTACACATTGACCCTTCCTCTGAACATCTAGGACTGCTTGACCGGGAGCTGGGACAATGGCCGAGAATATCGTTTTTATACGCAATTACCTTACCAAGGGAATCCGTGCATTTAGTTAAATGATCTCCCTCTGGAAAGACTTAAGTGAATTCTGCCGGCTTTTCGCTAATCGCTTAAGATCATTTGGGTGAGCCTACGCGTGCTTTCGATAAACTTTCATGGGGCGAGTATATTTATATGGGAGTGGGGTACAGAGTAAAAGGTGTGAGGGATAGGAGAAATCGATTACGATTCGTCTTTTCATACAAGTGGAGTGTGTGGATAGGGGTTGGGGAGAGGCGGCAGTAAGTGGCAGCGGGGCTAGGTAGCTCCGTGTGAAATGAGAAGGGGGGAGGGAAAGGGGGCGCAGGGACATGCATGTAATTAATCGATCTTTGGCCACGGCAGACACAGAGCGTGTAAGGACGTTCGACCGTCGCAACTGACGAAATCCATCGAGGTCCCCACCGAGTGGGCGTAGCATCGGTGACTTGTGCGTAGATGAGCTTATGGTGTTAGCAGACTTGTGCAGCATCTACCGCACTCTATTTTCCCCTTAACCCATCTGAGTCCGGTATCAAGACAGAGCCAGAAATTGTATCGGGTTCAGTGGTTGACAAGGCTAGAAAACCCGACTAGTCCTATCACAGATGGCTGGTCTGCGCACGATGGACCAGGTTGCGCAGGTTGGAGAGAAAAGGCGCAGATCCTGATCGATTGGGAGTGTTGAAGAGGCCACATTAAGAAGGAGCCATTGCTGCCTGACTGGCCGTCCTGAGCTGACTGAGAAATCCTGTAAGTTGTAGCCTTCCCGGCCTTGACCAGTCATGGATAAAAGGTGTTCAAAGGTACTTCAGCGGGTTTAAATTTTCATAACCTCTGTTATACGAATGAAATCATTACTTGGTAAATTCCATGTGAAAATTCACCTGTTGAAGCATTTTATACTAAAGTCTTATCTTTTTAGTTACTTTATTTCTTTGTTCATGTGAGGTGATTGACAACACGAAGTGTCCCAATTTAGTGGTCATGACGACACCTGACTGGACAACCTTTATCGCTCAGAGGGCAGTGTTAAGAACTACCCAGTCGAGTCAGATGTCATTTGATATTGCCAACCCTGGTGCGAAGTGCGCGCGCGTGCGCCACAGCCATGTTCGACTGCAGCCAACCAATAAGGAGTAGAAGAATGATCGGCGTCAAGGTCGAATGCCACTCGATGTTACCAACCCTGATCCGAAGTATGCGCGTGCGCCGCAGCCATGTCCGGCCGCTGTCAATAATTGAGGAATGCAATATCGATCGGCGTCACGGTTTCGGCGGGCCATTGGCTGAGGCACAGGCCGCAAATGTTAGGTCGCTGTCGCCACGCAGTGCAGACCGTCACAGTCTGGTCCGTAGGCTCATGAAAAAATGATCGTCTTCTCCACAAAACAGCATTCTCTGAGTGCATTAATGATGGCAAAGTAATAAGAATGCATGAAATATAAAATGCATACTGGGAGTTCCGCATTCTGTTCGAAAAATGCACCTAAGCTGATGCCGGTCATGTTGACGTGCGATAACTAAAACATGCATGAGTAATAAGATTTCACCTACGCGACATTTATATGCTTTTCACTTAATCACTCTGGTATCTGTACAGCTGTAATTATTACATATTGACTCCGATGCAGGCATTCATAAGCAGACTGCTTAAGATCCGTTGCTCCGTAGAACAACGAATGCAATTTAAACGGTATGAATTCTTCAATAGTGAAATGTACTCAGGGTTTTATAGCTGGATCGAAGCACAAATCAGTTAAGTTATCCAGGTACGATAGCCTAGAAGTGCATCTTGGCGCTGCGGGACTTCATGAGCAATCGCTGCCTCACCTTCACCTGCCATAGTAGATCAGACTCATTTCTCAGCTCTCCTAAATGCTGCCTGAGAATGACGAGGATGGTCCCGCCACCCAGACACCATCTGACAACTTCCCTCCATCACACAAGCGCAATTTGAACTTACAACTGCCCTATTCCGAGATAACACTGAATAGGTGAATAGTGTCTAAACATTTGACGGTATCGGATATTTGTGATCCATCTGCGAACTGTTACTGATTGGTGCCTAGTTTGGAATCTGGCTGCTCAAATTTTATACCATTCTGGCATACTGTTAGAGTGGGTTTGTCATTTCTCTGTTCATTCATTACTCAAGCGTAAATCGAGCTACATTTTTAACCGAAATAGACAGTGGGTCCTCGAAGGTCATGTGCACTTCAGAGCTGTCGACGTGGCCTCTGCAGGCAGGACCCCTTAATGGCATGAAAACAGAGGTGCCTGGAGATTTTCCGCTGCTGACTTCTATCATGACAGTGTGGTATGGATCACGTGACCGATCTGATCTTAGAGTTGTGATTTTCTCCGTAACGAACGTCCAGTTATTGTTGTTGGAGCGTGGGACTTGAAGTGCTGACGTCGAATCCATGTGGGTGCATTGTGTATTAGAGGCTTCGTCATGTGCTTCTTTGTGTCCTACTCTCTCCATTTAGTAGTCAAAAATGGCTAAACTGTTGATGGTGTCGTAATTTTGTGATCGATTTTCTCACTGGAACTGATGATTTCTTTGTCTAGAATATGACTGTTCGAAAAGACACTAGCTTAGACTGCTGAAGGATAAAGGTAAGTAGATCGCAGACGATGTCAGTCATTTCTAGGAATGGATCCCGTTCGGGGGTTAATGTCATAAGTTAGCGGGTTGGGATCGCAGCGTAACTTTGCAAAACGTGATTGGGGACTGCACAGCATGAAATACCTCTTCGTCACTAGGACGGAATCCGGACTTATCTGTGTCGTTGACCCTAGCTTCTTTTCGTATCATCTCGGGTGCTGAATAGGTTTACGTGTGCTAAAAGCTTGTTAAAATCATATATTTAAACGCTGCCATTATTGCCACCCTGACCTATTGTCTATTAGAAGCTTTGTCATGAAGCTCCGCCCTCAGCAGCCAAGCTAGCACATGTTCAGCTGCCCGAGTCTTGAACGCGAATCCACAGGTGTCGAGGACACTCCAGTGCTGCCCACACGGTCTGCAAAGGGAGGACGGTCTTGCTGCAGTAGCCAGCGTGGAGTATAGGAATAGCAGGTTAGATGACATGATACATGACTGTTCAGTCCTGAAGCAGGGCCGTCGCTTGCCCATGTTTGACGCAGTCTCATGCCTTTAACGGACCTCTGGACACCGACACATCTCTTTGGTTTTCTTCTCTAGGCAAGCAGAATAGATAGTCACAGGCCTTTTGACAGAAAATTCTGTTGGATTTTCTTATGTAGAGTGTTGGTGTATGTGACAGTTCGACCATCGATTTCGATGATGTCCACCGTGTGCCCCCCACAGCAGGTTGGAGCAGGGACGGTGACTTGCGCAGGGGTTTATAGTGCCAGTAGACTTGCGTAGCATCTACCTACACTCTCTCCACCTCCCTCGCCCGAGCTCGGTGTCAAGACAGAGTCAAGAAGACCGGAGACGAGGGAGGCCGCAGGTGGATGGCTCGGACGGATCCTCACCTTGGCGTTCCACCACACCCCCTGGTCCACACAACAATAACCAGGATTTCAACCAACACAACAAGGATTTGGAGGCTGGCACGGCCGAAGCCGCACCTAGGCGTGCCGCCAACGCCTGGCTCGGATCCCACACTGTGGTGGGAGTGCCATAAAGGCCACATTAAAAAGGAGCCATTGCAGCCTGACTCTCAGACCGCCTCCCGTTAAGGAGGAGGTCCAAGGTACCCCGTCAGTTGGCAACCTTCCGAGCCACGGCTTTTAGCGCACCGTGATAGCTTCAAGCGCATCAGATTGATTATAGTGAGGAAAAAGTGCGCTGAGTCGTCTACCTCACTCTCCCTTCCCATTCCCACACCCCAGCCGCCGTCCGAGCCGGTCGGCAAACTGGAGTGGTGGATGGGCGCGGTGGCTGCCACGGTCGACTGACCGTGACTGCGCGCGCCACAGCACGACCTGGCCCCCCATACACACACAAACACCAGGATTTCACACAACGGGGGTTGAACGGCGTGTCTCTCACTTGCGTGAGAGGGCCGTGGAAGGTGCTGCTTCAGCCCGTTCCCAGCCCACCAGTCCGCCACTCCACACAGCACACAAACACAACGCGACGAACTGCGTGAACCGAGAGCGGGCTTCAATCAGCAACCTTCCTATCCACGACACTTGAAGTGTCGGGATAGTCTCGGACTCAAATCACCCGTACAGCCGAAGCCGCGTGGGAACCGAGTCGAGATGCACACTGCCCACTTGCGTGGAAGGTGGCAGTTGGTGCATGCGGTGGGTAAGTGTTGATGTGTGTTGGTGATGGTGGAGGAGGGTAGGGAGTGTGTGGATGTGTGGTGTAACCGGCGGTTGTCTACCGCAGGTCGTCGTGGATGCGCATGTGGCCGAATAGGCCCATGCGGTGCCTGAAAGTGCGAGGACAGTGTGGGCAGTTGAGACGAGCTTGGTGGTTGGTGTACGTACATCGATAGGAGCTGCCTGTTCCCATGAGCCAGCCCACACCGCTGCAGTGGCGGTCAGTGACAGAAACTGTATGTCTATTTGTCATCGTCAGTTGCTGTTTGTGGTGCAGACGGAGGCCGACCGGACTCCATGTCACGGAGGGTTTTGCAAAAGTCCAATCTCTTAGCTTATTTAACTAAGCGTAGTTAATAACAGCTCACAAGTGGGTTTATCCGAGAGACGGCTGGAGGTTTGGCATCGAGCTACGGTCAGAGTTAGCGCTAGTATTAGGTGTATTGTTATTTGTAGAGCTGTTGTTGCCATGTCGGGGCTGTGCGTCAGATTTGGAGTTGAGACTAGGGTAGCAGTTTTTAGCTTAGGGTTGAAATTAGGGGTAGGAGTTAGGGTAAGACGTTTAGGCTTAGGGGTTAACGCTTACGTCCAGATTTGGAGCTTTAAGGCATGGATTGAGATTTCGTTTACGTTGGAGGTTAGCTTAAATATTTACCGTTTGAATGTTAAGCTTAACCATTGCAGGTTATGTTGCGGTTGGCGTTAGTGTTGTAGTTAACTACGGTCTTTCCAGTGTGGTTACTAACTATACACTTGTCCAGATCACACCCGGCAAGTGTTAAGTATATGCGCGGGGTGAGGAGATGCTGTTTTTCAACACATCCAACTGCGCTTTATCATACTCGCTTCACTGGCGGGCGTATTCATTGAAAGTCTTCGTTTTACAACCTGACTGCTCCACGTTCCGAACGTATTTCCTAAAAATTAGCTTCCGCCTTGCTAAATAATTGCGTGTGGGGGTGCAAGACAATGTACCAGTGTAGAGATTTCAGTAGCACCGACTCCTCGGTGCGGTACAGGTTAGCGAATTTTATTCTGCCGACGAAGGACCGACTAAAATCTCCACCGACCATTGCCAAATCTTTTAAAATATGACAGGCAGTTCTCTGTAGTTTTTCCCTACCCCGCGCACATACTTAACCCTCACTTCGCATCCATTACTGTGAAAGGACTACGTCTGTTTGAACTACTGTGTGGTAGCTCGAGTCATAACTCAGGACGCCAATTCTGAGAAGGTGGTATGCATGTTAGGGTTGTGAGGAAGCGTTCTGCTGGTTAAACCTTCGGACAAGAGGTATGCATTATCCTGTGGCCGAGGTCGCAACCCTTCGGCTAAGCAAGTCTGCCAGGGAATTACCAACTAACGGTGCTCAATTGTAGCCCAGCCGCAAATTTTGTCCCCGAGGGAGACCAAGTGAGGAGTGGAATTTCCAGCAGTGGGAGCAAGAGGTTGTGGTGAGGGAGAAGCCAAGTTAGGCGCAACGAGAACTCTGCAATCACTGATCATCTAGCTTTCGGATTGGTTGGTTACTGGGTTTGGTCCTCCGTAATGAACAGTAGTTCCAACTATTTGAGACACCCGACGGTTAATAGCGCTATGCCTCAAAAGGTTCCTTTAACTATCGCCCAGGGGTTTCAGAATGCGCAAACTGGAAGCGGACTTTTTACTCAGAAGATGATGCAAGCCGTTTGACTGGTTAATGCCCACCTGGCACGAGGTTGATGGCTCGCTCAGGTTTTTTTGGATCACGTAGTGAAGGTTATTTGGTGCGTGTGCAGTTAGCCTAAGACGGTCTGTTCAGTCTGGTGAAAGCGTCCCAATCCCCTCTTGTCAAGTGACTGTTTGCGTCGCGTGTGACTCAGCCTTCGGCCTGCCGACACTGTTACGCTCTTCGATATTTTGTTCTTCCCTGATTGGTCGCAGCCACAGGCACGCGCACGCGCGCACCTCAGGCCGGGACTGATATCAGAGGTTGGCTCTTACTTTTTTTGAACTTTTGCTCTCACTGCCTTCTGAGTCGATCACACTCTTTCCGCCAGCGTTTCGGCTGTCCTACGAAGTAACTCTGTCTCCCTGACCTCTGATTTGGGAAAATTCCCTCTGACAAAATCCCCATAAAGGGTGGCAGTCCGCTCACTTGATCGCCGCCGCTTTGCCATACTGTCCTTCTGTCTGTCACACGCTCCCTGTCGATTCGCTGCTGGGGCCGCGCGAGGCTTGTCAGTAGCCTCGCGAGAGCTCGAAGGCAACCAACGCTGCACCTTCGCTGATTGGCTAGAGGCGGTCACAGCTCTGACAGCGCAGAGATGCACACGTACGATGGGGGCCTAAAACCTCGACGGCGGACCCGACAAAAACAACATGCCTAAAGGGACAGTTTGCGGCAACTGGTTGACGAACCCCCTATACACTCTTTCACAACAGTAAAGCTTGCCCAACCCGATCTGTCCTCCCTGGCTTTTGGTTCGGGAATCTTCAGGTCAGTAATCGGGAACTCTCGCGTCACCCCCCTCCCCCGATCACGATAGGCAGGTCTAAGTTTCATCGAAGCTAAGCCGTTCAGCGGTACTCAAACAGCTCTTAATTCTTTTAGTTTCTTTCGTTCATACTGATCTGAATTAGCAAATTTAGAAAGTTGACGATAGGATAAGCGAACATACTGACATTGTTGGATTGCCTGAAAGCCAATTCCGTAGAATTTGGAAAATTAAGTAACACAGTTGATAGAACATGGGATGTGACTCAGCGCACTAAGCTAGATCAGCAACTGAACCCACACTCAAACATAAGGTATTCTTTGCCCAGGGTTGGTACTTGGACATACACAGTAGGTGGGCTGACTCATGAAATGTCAACCGAAGTTCCAAAATACGACTTCGTTTCGAAAAGATTAAGTAATCTGGGTTGTAGGACTGATCATCGTGCAGCGTAATGCTATACTAATTCAGTTATCCCGGGGTGCCGGTTTTCAAACAAACTTCTTTCCGGCTGCATGCAAAAATTATGCTCTGCAAAAGATGGCTACTTATATGGCATGCATTTTTTTCATTGATTTTTGATGCTCTTAAAGATTCCATTATATTTCATGGAAAACATGCATAAAAACATTAATTCTTTTGCTCATTTGGTAGAAACTGGCGTCTTCTTCCAATTTTATACTCGAAGGAAGGGTGTAATTTGGTTTTCAAAATATTTTCCGATTCCCGAATAATTTTGAACCCGACCTGCTGTTTCACTTGCATTCCGGGTCTCAAAACTACAAGCCGTATATTTTTCGCGTACGGAAAACCATGCATTTTCCTCTGTGGTATTAAGAGGAAACCACATGGGGTTCGTAAAATCTAGCAGTAGATACGAGCCATGTTGTTAGCTTTACAAGCCACATTGGTAAATGCAGAGACGTGACGTTTTATGAACGGCCATTTCATGGTATTAAAAAATCTCACAATTGGAAACTTTTTTAAAACCGAATTATGATCAGATCATATCAGATTTATTAAGGGAATGGTAGGCGACCGCATTTGAACTCCCTTTTTATTACAATAACGTCATAAAGAACAATGTGTAAGGCAAGTGTCAAAGAAAAGTAGGTAAGTAAGTAAATACAACAAGTATTGATTACTGGATGCAAAAAACGTCATTTAGCCATTAAAGCCGTGCCAGTCGGGCACTAACCGGTCAAACGGCTGATATCATCTTTTGGGTAAAAAGTCCGCTTCCATGGCGATAGGTAAAGGAATCTTTGGATGCATAGCGCCATTTACCGTCGAGTATGTCAAATAGCTGACACTACTGTTCATTACGGAGGACCAAAACCAGTAACCAACCAATCCGAAATCTAGATGAAATCCCCCTTTTTAGTGAAATCAGGATTTGATGACTACAGACACTTGTTCAGTTGTCGACAGTTGCATGACGTGAATACCAAATGAACGACGCATTTGGAGTTTGAATCTACCGAGGCGGTCTAGACGGAAAACCAGTAGGTCGTCATTCGATGTCCACCGTCTAATTTAAGCGGGTAGGCAACATCAGGCAGCGAAGACAAGATGAGGTATGTAAGTCTTGTGATGCAAAAATTGACAGAGTTACGACAGGCTCTATTTGTTTGCACACGTCCAGTTTAAGTATAGAGGTGTAAACTACCTCCAAGGGTATCATTTTATGAGCTGTTAGAGCAGAGCCGACGCCTAGAAAACGATAATTTGCGTAAACAGAGTATCTGACGTATAGGAAGTTTTTCGCGGTGGAGGGGCCCAGATTTTGTTCTCCGAATTTAATGATCTTATGAACGTGCAGCCAGATTACAGGACTGTTGATGGCCTTTTAGTCGCGCAACTGAACACCGTAATGTTCAATTCAGGTTTTCATCCGACTGACTGGCCTCCTTTAAAAAAACACACGTCAGACACCTACATACTTCAGTCGTCGAGACAGCCCAGTAAAACTGAAGTGCTCTGTTCTCAGAAGACAGAACTAAAAGCTAATATGGACTTGCACCGAGACGGCAGAAAACCCTTACATGTGGCGGAAGAGGAGAACTTGCTTTTTCATCAGTCATAACTGGCGATCCTTGCCCTCATATTCTGCTACTTTATACCTTGGCCTGACGAATGAAGTAATTTTTCGAATGAGCATTTTTGTAGCCGAAAACGGGTGAAGGGCGAGAGGAGAAGAAGAAGAAGAAGAGGAAGAAGAAGAAGGAGGAGGAGGAGAAGGAGAAGGAGAAGGAGGAGGAGGAGAAGGAGGAGGAGGAGGAGGAGGAGGAGGAGGGAAAGAGTATTTTGTCTTGTGTTTTAGCTTCGACAGCATGTTAAGCAGTCTGTGAGCCACGGTTTGAACGCAGATATCGTAAACCCAGGTTTGTTTAGGGCCTTTTTATAGCCCCCTCCCCCTCGCGGGGGAAAACAGTGCTTTCCCTGAATAGGACTGCTTTGTAGCACCAGATGGGCACCGCTCTCCACGGGCTTTAGTGAAAGAACGACCCATCGCCTGGACTGCCAAGGTGGTTGCCATCGCTCTCGCGACGTTGGACTTCCGACCGCGGGATAAGACAGTAGAGTGGAGAGTAGAGAGAGTGATGGGAGGAGGAGAAATGCGGAAAGAAGGTACGAAGGAGTAAATGGCAGAACTACTGTGTGTGTGTGTGGAGATGCACACATCGATACCCTAACCTTGTTTAGCCCGCCGGTCGAGAGAGTTACGGGGGTGTGGTTGCCAGAAAAAGCCTAGCTTCGGGGAGCCAAATGTGAGAATTGGGCACCAGTTAATGGACGCTAGACGTAGTCTACATCTGCAAGCAAGTGAGCGACCTACTAAAACATTCACGTGGACTTACGATTAAACAACCCTATAGCCTCTGAGTATATAAGTATAAGAGGGGAAATGATAGAGTCTAGTGAGGAGGGGGAGGGTAAATTGATGCAACACTGTATCGGGCTTGTTTGACTTCATTTAGCCAATCAGAAGCCTGACCACCAGCTGGGACCAGAAACATAAGCATGCGTACAGACGCACCTGGCGCAGCTGGTCCACCACTGGGGTCTACCAGATGGGTCATAAGCACTTCATCGAACCGAAGTTCATCAGTGCCTCGTCACCTGCCATTCACTCCGGAATGGGCGCACACTGATCCATTGGCTTCCCGAAGCAAACAAGCCTGGTATTGTTGATAGGGGGTCACAAACAATCAACCACTTAGCAGGCCGAAGTCGGCCAAGTTATGGTAGCAGAGGAGAGAGGACAGAGTCTGGGGGGTAGACTGATACAGCACTGTTTCGGACTTGTTTGCCTAACTCATGATATTTCATGAGCTAGCACACTTACCGTACCAGTGACAGACTATACTCGCGATTGACTGCAAGCTGCTGCTCATACCATCTTGCGCAGAGGCGTTTGCCTGTTTCACCAACATACCTCGTACCGTAATTTTGGCATGATATGCTGTAGAACACTACTGCTTGTTTTTTGCCGGTAGAGGGTGTGTCGAGAGCAATATGGTCAGTACTAATAGCCAAAAATAACGTGGTTTCAACCCTCAAGTGCCCCCAAATCTGGGTTTGAGTAAGGCTGACTGACAGAAATGGGCCATTCCAGGCTTCCTTGCCCTCGTCGTAGTCTCCCTCTTCATACGATGCTACGCCTGTGAGACAACTTACGTGGCTTCAGATTGAACCTCGAAGCACGACGGCCCGAGTATGTCACCTAACGCAATCAGTGATCGTCCCTCTACCATAGGGAAATTGTGTCCCTTCTCGATGCTGAGGTCAGTCTTGAATTTCTTTACAGCAGCATGTGCGTGAAGCGAACTTCTTCAGCGAACCGATCGTAAATCTGAATGTCCTGCATTCGGCCCCACAAGGTGCAAAGGGGAACCGCATTATCACCGCCGCAAAGCTCAACGAAAAGCGGACTTTCGACTGCGAATTTAAAAAAAGCGGTCAGACACGCGAATATGGACCCCGGAGGCTACATGGGGTCTCGGAGTAAATTTCAGCCAGGATATTTCTTGCCGTGTCCTAACATCAATCCTAACCCCAACCGTAACCCTCATACGTCTAATTTCAACTCCCCCCCTCCTGAAATTTAGGTCAAGACCACCTGTAGTACGAGGGGTCAATAGTTTCGTGTCCAAATCTAAGTACTGCCAACAGAATTGCTCACCAACTGGTTTTGGGACGCCATATATAAATAAAATAACATAAGAACATCTGAAGGCGTCGGAAAATTCCGCTTAACCGTCAAACAAATAGTGCTTTCTTCACCGATACAAAATAATATGAGCGGGTGGTCGATCCTCTTGTGAACTTTAAACATACATGTCTGACACTGGAAGGTAAGGCGCTGTTTCTGGGTGGGTTTTCATTTGGATCTGCGCTCTTTTCCGTGTATGGATATCTATTTTGCTAGATGCTAAGTCTGGAAGACACGACAACCACTGCAGTTGGTCGATGAAATGCGAGTTTCTGTTTTTTGTTGACAAAATGGTCCAATTTTTCGTTAATTTAGCTTTGAAAAGTTCATTTATCGCGGCTGCTAATTAAAAATTAATTTGCTTCGGTTTAGTTTATTTCCAAAATGTCTTCTTCGAAACCCCATAATCAATCAATTGAAAGAGAAGACGGCGGTCATTACGTGCAAAGCGGTGTACACAGAACACGTAGAGGATACAAATATGACTAATTGACAAGTAACGAGAGTCCTTCAGCTAGCATTTAGGTGCGTATGCAAGTACCGCCAGTAACCGATGTCATGAGATGGTAACCGAAATTTTGAAACGCGTTTTCGAAGTGGAATGATTACTTAGATGGGGTTGTAATATTTACCCCGCAGCATAGTCTCAAGTCATTTCAGTCAAGCCAGGATGTTAGCGTTTGAATGCATTTCTTCTTGGCCTCCAGCAAAAACTACAGTCCTCACAAAATGACCACTTAAGCAGTAGGTGGGCTGACTCATGAAATGTCAACCGAAATTCCAAAATACGACTTCGGTTCGAAAAGATTAAGTAAGCTGGGTTGTAGGACTGATCATCCTGCAGCGTAATGCTATACTAATTCCGTTACCCCGGGGTGCCGGCTTTCGAACAAACTTCTTTCCGGCTGCATGCAAAAATTATGCTCTGCAAAAGATGGCTACTTATATGGCATGCATTTTTTTCATTGAGTTTCGATGCTCTTAAAGATTCCATTAAATTTCATGGAAAACATGCATAAAAATATTCATTCTTTTGCTCATTTGGCAGAAAATGGCGTCCTCTTCCAAATTTATCCTCGAAGGAAAGGTGTAATTGGGTTTTCAAAATATTTTCCGATTCCCGAATAATTTTGAACCCGACCTGCTGTTTCACTTGCATTCCGGGTCTCAAAACTACAAGCCGTATATTTTTCGCGTACGGAAAACCATGCATTTTCCTCTGTGGTATTAAGAGGAAACCACATGGGGTTCGTCAAATCTAGCAGTAGATACGAGCCATGTTGTTAGCTTTGCAAGCCCCATTGGTAAATGCAGAGACGTGACGTTCTATGAACGGCCATTTCACGGTATTAAAAAGTCTCACAATTGGAAACTTTTTTAAAACCGAATTATGATCAGATCAGATAAGATTTATCAAGGGAATGGTAGGCGACCGCATTTGAACTCCCTTTTTATTACAAAAACGTCATAAAGAACAATGTGTAAGGCAAGTGTCAAAGAAAAGTAGGTAAGTAATTAAATACAACAGGCATTGATTACTGGATCCAAAAACGTCATTGAGCCATTAAAGCCGTGCCAGTCGGGCACTAACCGGTCAAACGGCTTATATCATCTTTTGGGTAAAATGTCCGCTTCCATGGCGATAGGTAAAGCAATCCTTTGAGACATAGCGCTATTAACCGTCGAGTATCTCAAATAGCTGGAACTACTGTTCATTACGGAGGACCAAAACCAGTAACCAACCAATCCGAAAGCTAGATGAAATCCCCCTTTTTAGTGAAATCAGGATTTGATGACTACCGACACTTGTTCAGTTGTCGACAGTTGCATGACGTGAATGCCAAATGAAGGACGCATTTGGAGTTTGAATCTACCGGGGTGATCTAGACGGAAAACCAGTAGGTCACCATTCGATGTCCACTGTCTAATTTAAGCGGGTCGGCAACATCAGGCAGCGAAGGCAAGATGAGGTATGTAAGTCTTGTGATGCAAAAATTGACAGAGTTACGACAGGCTCTATTTGTTTGCACACGTCCAGTTTAAGTATGGAGGTGTAAACTACCTCCAAGGGTATTATTTTATGAGTTGTTAGAGCAGAGCCGACGCCTAGAAAATGAAGTTTTGCGTAAACAGAGTCGCTGGTGTATAGGAAGTGTTTCATGGTGGAGGGGCGCAGGTTTTGCTCTCCGAATTTAATGATCTTATGAACGTGCAGCCAGATTACAGGACTGTTGATGGCCTTTTGGTCGCGCAACTGAAAATCCTAATGTTCGCTTCAGGTTGTCATCCGACTGGCTGGCCCCCTTTAAACAAACTACACGGCAGACACCTCCATACTTCAGTCGTCGAGACAGCCCAGTGAACGGGAAGCGCTCTGTCCTCAAAAGACAAGATTGAAAGCGAATATAGACTTGCACCGAGACGGCAGAAAACCCTTACATGTGGCGGAAGAGGAGAACTTGCTTTTTCATCAGTCATAACTGGCGATCCTTGCCCTCATATTCTGCTACTTTATATCTTGGCCTGACGAATGAAGTAATTTTTCGAATGAGCATTTTTGTAGCCGAAAACGGGTGAAGGGGGAGAGGAGGAGGAGGAGGAGGAGGAGGAGGAGGAGGAGGAGGGGGAAAAGGAGGGGGAGGAGGGGGAGGAGGAAAAGAGTATTTTGTCTTGTGTTTTAGTTTCGACAGCATGTTAAGCAGTCTGTGAGCCACGGTCTGCGCGCAGATGTCGTGAACCCAGGTTTGTTTAGGGCACCTTTTATAGCCCCCTCCCCGTTGCGGGGGAAAGCAGTGCTTTCCCTGAATAGGACTGCTTGGTAGCACCAGATGGGCACCGCTCTCCACGGGCTTTAGTGAAAGAACGACCCATCGCCTGGACTGCCAAGGTGGTTGCCATCGCTCTCGCGACGTTGGACTTCCGACCGCGAGATAAGACAGTAGAGTGGAGAGTAGAGAGAGTGAAGGGCGGAGGAGAAATGCAGAAAGAAGGTACGAAGGAGTAAATGACAGAACTACCGTGTGTGTATGGAGATGCACACATCGATAGCCTCACCTTGTTTAGCTCGCCGGTCGAGAGAGTTACGGGGGTGTGGTCGCCAGACAAAGCCTAGCTTCGGGGAGCC